TGTGTGTGTGTGTATGTGTGTGTGTGAGTGTGTGTGTGTGTGTGTGCTTTTGGTACGACTGGATCAAGATATTCAGATGATGTTATCAGGAGGCTATCTTTTCTAAACTCTGTCTGCATTGGGCTAGACTCTACTTCAGTCAGGGACCCCTGTGGTGGGTCCCGCAGTCCAAGCAGTCATATTCACAGCTTCAAGTGTAAAGAAAGTTCTTCCTTGGAGGGCTAATGAGAGTCCTGGGACTAATTCTCATTGGCTCAGCCTTGGCCATATGGCCATGGCACAGCATAAGCCTGCTGGATTATGCCTGAGTCCTGTGCCCACTTTTGGATCTAGGGTGGAATCAGCCTCACACAAACTACAAGGGCTGGAATCATACAGGTCATGTGGCTCAAGGTGAAGCCAGGGTTCAAGTCTAGGGGACTGTCTGATTGCTCCTTTTCCAGTCATGTCTCCACCTGCCTCCAGGATTAGAAACAAATGCATGCCCATGACAGAATATTCAAAAAGTAGGATATTTGGAAGGCAGGCAAAAGTATAGAAAAGATAATTAAAGGTGACTCATCAATAACTACCATTGGCCTTTTGGTTTTTCTCTCAGTTATTTAAAAAAAAAAAAACAGATTTTTTTTTCCCTAAGGTAATTTATTCTATATGTTAGTTTTTCGTTGCCTTGAATCATCTCTGGTTCTCTTTCTTTTTTTTTTAGGCAGAGTGTCACTCTGTTGCCCAGGCTGGAGTGCAGTGGCATGCTCACGGCCACCACAGCCTTGATCTACTGGGTTCAGGTGATCCTTTTGCCTCAGCCTTCCAAGTAGCTGGAACTACAGGCTCATGTCACCACTCCTGGTTAATTATTTTTTTGGTTTATTGTAGAGACGAAGTCTCACCAATTTGCCCAGGCTGATCTCGAACCTGTGGGCTCAGGCAATTCTCTCATCTCAGTCTCCCAAATTGCTGAGATTACAGGCATGAGCCAATCTGCCCAACTACTCTGGTTCTTTTTCAAGGTCCAGGTCCAGCCTTCAATGTTCTTCATGCTGAAATGCAAGTCCATGTGTAAAAGAACTCTGTACTGTAAATCCATGTGCAACTGTTCCCTGCTTTGTCTATTATAGAACACACTCTAATTTTCTAACTTTCTTATCGTTTCTCAAGGAGATGCCCTTCTGGCTTGTGGGTCCTGAGGTCTCTGGTGAATTGGCTTGAGAATTCTCACATTCTAGAAACATCAGAAATACCCAAGGTACTAATTAAAAACACACATCTTCAGGCTCTACCTCTAGAGATTCCAAAATAAAGTAGGTAGAGAAGGACTCAGAGAATACTAAAATCCACCTTTTTTTGGGTGACTTTTCATGGTCACCCCAGCATCAGCCTGCTGGGCTCAGATGATCCTTCTGCCTCAACCTTCCAAGTAGCTGGAACTACAGGCACACGCTGCCATGCCTGGCTAATTTTTCGATTTATTAGAGATGAGGTCTCGCCAAGTTACCCAGGCTGCTCTTGAACCTGTGGGCTCAGTCAATCCCCTCAGCTTAGCCTCCCAAAGTGCTGGAATTACAGACTTGAGCCACCGCGCCCAGCCTAAAATCCACCTTTTTATTAAAATGCACCATTTATACAGACTTGTAAGTGCAGTCATGTGTAAAGCATGAAGAATTTTCACAACGTGAATATAAACATCTGTGTTGCTTCTCATGGTTATGAGACATTCATGCTCTTTGCTGTGTTGGATTTAATGACATGTACCATCTCATGCCTCCCCATTCTGGTATAGATGAGCATTTGAGTTGTGGCCAGGTGCTGGCTGTTACAGTAGTACTGCTCTGAATATTTCAGTGGATGTCTTTTGGTGTTAGTGTGTGCATATTTCAGCTTGAATTGACACTGTCAGTTTTCCAAAGGAATATTTCAAATTTTTTTCTCACACTTGCAGTGTTTGAGAGTTACAGTTGCTCTGTGTCCTTATCAACACTTGGTTCTGTGTTTTTTGCTTTAGCCAACCTGTGGAGTGTGGTTTCAATTTTCATTTCCTCAAAGAGGTTGAGCAAATTTTCATATATTTATCAGCCATTTGAATGTTGTTTTTGGTGAAATGCCTACCTAGTCAAGCCTTTTGCCCAGTTCCTAGTGGGCTGCCAGCCTATTTCATAAAGATTTTTAACATTCTTTGTACATTCTAGGTTTGAATTCTTTGATGACTATACATATTGTTAAGGTTTTCTTTTACCCTGTCACTTGCTCTTCATGCTTGTAACTGCATCTTGTGATTCACAGAAGTTCTGATTTTACTGTGTCCCCATCTATCTGTGTTTCTTTGGAGGATGATACTTTTTTCCATCCTACTTGGGAAGTCGCTGGCATTCTCGTGTTGTGCAGCTATTTGTCTATATTTTCTAGAGGTTTTTTTTTTTTTGTATGTGTACAGACATCTTTTCAAAAACAATTACCCAAGTACTTCTGATGCAGACAGTCCACTAATTACATTTTGCAAGACCCTGCAATTTTCTGCTCGGACCCTCACACATCCTTTAAAGGCTGGGTCATCACTCGAGCCTTCCCTTCTTCCAGGTGGGGTCCCCTCGCAGCTGCCATCATCAGGTTGCTGTCTATCACATAGAGTTCCACAACAGGGACACATTCTTACACATCTCCAGGTGAAAATGAGTACATGGATAGGGAGGGGACATGGTGGCTGGAGAACAAATGCCCTGTAGAGGGACAGCAACCACTCAGCTCAGGAGATTGCTGTCATGAGAGCCGGAGGAACTTGTACTACAGATCTGCCACGTTTCAAAGCAAACCTAAGCATCTGGAGATCTAGTCCATTTCTAAATGATGTCAAAGCATTTCAAACTAAAAATTCACTGTGTGGGTCAAAGAAGGAGGAGAAGGAGGACGAGGAGGAGGAGTCATCTGTGGGTTTGCTAAAGCTTGTGTTCAACTGTCCTAGTATGGAACCTGCCACTCTAAGTGTGACCTTGGTACAGTGGCACAAGAGTATCACCTGTGAATGCAGAAATGCAGAATCTCAGCTTTCAAATACTGAAGCAGAATCTGCATTTTGTCAGTAGCCCCAGGTGATTCATGGGCACACTAAAGCCTGAAAAGCACCAATCTAGGTGTGTGGTTCTCCACACTGGCTCAAATTAGAATCATTTGGAGAACTTAAAAAAACCAAACCTATGGCTATGTTATTGTCCACAAAAGTCAGAATCTCTTTTTCTTTTTTATAGCGACCCGTGCGATTTTTAAAAATTGGGTGATTCAGATAGGCAGCTGGGGTTCAAATACATAAATTCAGTCAATCTCCACTTATAAATGGGCATAGGAAAACCTCAACAGGTGGGCAGGGGAAGCGCCTGGCCAAGGTCACTGGACTCACACATGGGAACACTGCTCTGCACTCCTCGTCTCTCTTGGTTCCTAAGCCAGGGCCTTTCTACTGCAGCAGCTTTTGGTTTCTGGGGGCAGAACGACAAGATGCTGCTGCTGGACTTCAGCCCTTGACTGCCAGGGCTCCAGATGAGCTGCTTAGCGTGAGCAGCTAATGAAATTTGCCAGTGGAGAGCTCTGCTCATTCTAGCCGAATCTCATTCTCTGTATACCACCCCAACACCAGTGCTCACTGCTCCTGCTGTGAAGACATGGAAGGTCCTTGACATGGGGAGCAAAATACCCCTGCAGAGGCGCCAAGTGGAGTCACATACTCTTGGGGGCCACATGAGGATTCGGGTCCAGCGCGACCCTCAGTGAGCATGACAGCGCCATTCCTCTGTGCTCCTGGGTTGCAGAGAGCAAACCCCAGGGATCTGTACACCTGTGCATGTCCTAGAAATGGGAGGAGCAAAGGGTTACTTGCAACCGGTGGTTGAGTCAAGATTCCCAGCCTCTTTTCCAGGACTAGGTGATGCTTATAGTATTCTGACCCCGTAGTATAGTACTTGAGAGGTTTCACGGGAAAAAAAGAGAATCCAGTCACCAAAATGAATGTGCTGAGGACCTGCATTCCCTTGTGTCCAGGGACCCCATCATGGGCCTATACTCTACTGAGTGCTCGCAAAGTCCCCCCGTGCCTGCTTCCTGAGGCCTCTAGCTGCACCAACTCTCTACTACCAAATGCCCCACTTTCCCAGCCCCAGCCTTTGTCCTGAGTTTTTTCTTCTCCTTTTCACTCCACTTCTACAACTGCAAAGACCGAAAATTTTGGAGAGCTAGGAGGAGAGAGATCCCCGACAGGACCCCATTTAGCGGGCAGACAGAGGACACTGGGGACAATTATCCATGTCAGGGCCATTACAACCATGCCCCGTCATCCCCCTGAGGATGCCAATCTCTATCTCTACCCCATGACCTTTAGCCATGCTGCAGTCAGACACATAACATCTGTGTGTTGAGCACCTCAGTGTACTAAGTAGTGGAACCAGGGTGGACCTGTGGCTTAGAATCTGCTATTTTATTTTATTTTTTTTGAGTTGGAGTCTCAGTCCATCGCACATGTTGGAGAACAGTGGCATGATCACAGCTCACTGAAGCCTCAGTCTCCTGAGCTCAGGCAATCCTTTCTTCTTGACTTTCTGAGTAGCTTGAACTGCAGGCTTGCGTCACCTGCCCGCCTAATTTTTAAATTTTTTGTAGAAACAGGGTCTCATTATGTTTCTCAGGCTGGTCTCGGATCCTGGGCTAAAGCCATCCTCCTGTCTCAATCTTACAAACTTCTGAGATTACAGGCATAAGCCACCATGCCTGGCTCAGACTCTCCTTTTTAAATAAAATGGAACACCCTAGCTGCTACAAGATTGAGATGGCATGCATGACAATTCTTTGATAACAACTGAGTACAACATAATTATAGGGCAATGGTGACAAAAGTTAGAATTCTTCCATGCCACCAATCCTGGGGAAAAAAATTGTCACTTGAAAAAATTTGCTGCCCATGCCTGTGTTGCTTACCACTTGCTTATACCCTCACAAATGATCTTTTGTTTTACTTTCTCCAGGTAAAGAAGCTCCTTCCAAGGATTCAGCCATATCGAGTGAGGGCATATCCTCGTCTGAACGCAAGGAAAAATGTTTCCTGACACAGAACATGACTCCAGGTATCGAAATCCCAGAGGCTAGCCCAGTTTTAAAGAGCACATTTCCCGCAGAGGGCTGCTGTGTCTGCCTTCTCTCCCTCCTCTGCAGATTCCCCTTCCAGGAGCCACCACCACATGCCCTCTGTGAACATGACTTGACCATGCTATTCACTTGTGCATACACTGTCCCTCATTCATCATTGCCTGTGAGATTAATCTAAACTCAAGCTGGCACACGGCAGGAGCTCCGTGTGTATTTGCTGTGTTGATGAAAGTGTGTGAAGTGTGTCATTGAGCAGATTTTAAGGTGCTGGGGACCAGGGCTAACTTTTTTTTTAAATTGGGTATTCAGCATGGTACCTCAAAGAGTTGTTTATACATAGTTGAGGCTCAGAAACTGGTGGATAAAGAAATACACAAATCATGGACCGAGTATGTGGAGGACGTATTTACATTCTATAAACACCTAACACAGTCCAGGTACCCTGTGTGTGGTAGGTTCTGATAAATATTTGCTAAACTGTAAATAAGTGAAGGGAAGGTTGAATATGAGAGTGAGATTGAGCAGAAGGGCTTTTGTATGAGTCTTTCAGAAGCAGAAAAAGATTTCGAAATGGATGGAAAAAGCCTTCTTTTCAACACACACCTCTGACAAAGTCCCCTTTAAGGGACCTTGGTGAAGCCCACGAACGGGAAATTGTCATCAGAGGAAGCCATGCCCTGGCTGAACCTGTGCCAGGGACTGTGGGCAAGCCTGTGAAGACTCGGTCACAGCTGCACAGGGCCCCTCTGAAGCAGCAGGGACCACTTCTGAGGACAAATTTCATGCCTGGCGGCCCTCGCTTGGTTTCTCACTTCCTCGTCTCCAGGTGGTGATACCCAAGCCCCCATTTAGTCCGTGGGAGAAGGTCTCAGAGGCAGACATGACTCCATGACTCCTTACCACTCAGCAAACATGGTTGAGTGGACTCTTATTCTAACCATGACGCTGCTGCATCCTCCAAATGTGTGCTTCTCCCTGGGATGCAAAATACAACCTTGTGAAAAAGATTTACATCATAAACATTTTCAAGGATGTAACCCTCATTAATGGGTGCTGTAGAGACATATCCGACCTGGTTCTTTCTTTTCCCAGTCTCCAATTCTGCCAAGTCGCTTGACTGGCAATGGGAAAGCCCTCGCCTTTTGTCTACTGATGCGGTGCCCACCTGCCTCTGTCAGCATGGGCCACCCTGAGGAAACCCGCTGTTTCCTGAGAGCAGCAGAGTCAGCATGAGGCCGGTGAATAAGGGTGTCTGTAGGGGAAGTCCACCGCCGTGGGTGCACGTGTCCATTCGTTTTCCCTTGGTGCTTCCAGGAAGATCCCGGAGTGAGAAGACAGACACAGAGTGGCCGACCCTGCCTTTATGTGAATAGATGCAGATGGGAGCGACCAGATATGTGATCATGATGACAGGGTCGACTTCCAGAAAGACTACAATGTGACACAATGCACCCCACACAAACACTAGGGTGAACTCGAGCTCCTGCCCTCTGATATTCAGAGGGCACTGCAGGACCCCCTACTCCAGGCATAGGAGTTCTGTTCTGGGTCTTGGTCCTCGCTGGTGGATCCAGCCTGGTCTTTGGGGTTCCATATGCCTGGGTTCATGTACATGGCAAGGAGACCCACGGAAGGACTATTGATCAGCAGCTCTGAGAGATTCAAAGGAGAGTTTGGATTGAGATAGGCTTTGGTGGAAAGGGGTCACATGATCAGTTATCACCAAGGTTCATAGTCATGACCAGGTGAGGCAGCCACAGTCAGTAATTGCTGGAGTTGGGGGCAGGGCAACAGCTAATGCTTAATGTGTGTATTGAACATTTAATATGTACCAGGCACTGAACAAAAGGGGTTTTTATGCACAAGCTGGTTTGGTAAGCCTCTTAAAACCCTCATGGGATAGGTGCTAGAAAATCGTTTTGCAGTGTAGAGAGGACTTTCATGAAGTGTGGAGGGTTGCTCAGTCGCCAAATGCAGAGCCAGGCCTTGAACCCGAGTGTGTGTGGCTCCTTCCCAGGCTCCATCTTTGTGCTGTTCGTCCTATAGACTATGGGCCCACCACGTGGAGGACTGGATGGACTTGCTGAAGACGACGGGGTGGCAGGGCTGGGGAGGGTGGGGTGGAGTGTGCATGAGGTTGGAACACAGGCCAGGTAAGGACTGAGCAGAACCAATGTTCACTGATGCTCACGCCACAGTCAGGGTGTTTAGGCATGTGGTCCAAGAGCTGATCGGCAGCTGCTGTGTTGCAAGGACTTCCAGTCAGAGACAGGCCTTTGGAAGTGGGAGTCCAGAGCTGCCTGTGGATCCAGCTAGCTTGACAGGTGCTGTCTCCACCGGGCTGAGGAACTTGCAAAGGTCCTGCAAGTTGGGGCTGCTACAGAGACCTCTGCGATTACCCAGTCCAAGGCCTACTTGGTTGACTGTGTTGGATAATTATGGATGGGATCACCACTTGCTGTCTAAAGATGGCAACTTGCAAAGTGCAATAGTAAGGTGCTCCTCAGTGAGACCCTTTGTGACAACACTACCCAGAGGTGCTCACTGAGGTACCCCAGTGGCTCACGCTCTGTCTCTTGACTCTGTCACACCCATTTTGTAGCATGTTTCCCTCTGAAACTGCCATGTTTGTGGAACAACTTGCCTGGTGACCTGCTTGCCAGGCAAAGCACAGGCTGCTCGAGCTCAGGGTTACAGCCCTTCTGTAACCAAAGCGGCTCTCAGGAGGCCTTGATAAATATTTGTCAAATGAACGTGCATTTCGAAGATGTTGAAGATAGACTTTAATACATTCATGAATTACCCTGGCAAACACTGAATGCAGTATCAGAAAGAAACAGGTTAGAAAAAATGTACATATGCGTGTGTAATGCACAAAATGCACGTATATCCCACATCTTAACTGGCATACGAGCACATTTCTTTAAACGTGTTTAGAATGGCGTGCATTCAGAACTCTCGCAAATCCCCGCCCTCCCCCTCCAGGAATCAGTGATGGCTGCTGGTCTGTGTCAGCACCATGATATCAGCACCGGACAGTGCAGGAATAAGCCATGCCAGGCAGAAATAACCAGCATGAGACCGTCAATGCTGCGCTAAGAGCCTCCTGGGTTTAGTATTTTTTCCTTCTGGGGAGAACAAGTTAAAGGGGCACTGAAGGAATGTTAAGGACACTCTACCCTGTAACTAATGAGGATGTAACTATTGAAGTTTCAGATGCACGTGTGGGATAGCACTGTGGGTCTGTCCAACCCTTCCTTCCTTCCTTCCATGGTGTCTGGCCTGACGCCCTTCCTCTGTTCTCGGGACCTGATGCCCTCCTCCTGTTCTTTGCAGACCTGACGCTCTCCTTCTGTGTGCGGAGCCGCTCCCGGAGGGGTGTGGACGCGCCCCTGCAGGAGGCTGCCCGCCGGCGGCTCTGGGCACTGGAGAGTGAGGACCAGCAGGTGCGTGCGCTGTTCAAGGTGAGCATGGGGCAGGTGACCACTGGGCATGACTTGTGCTGCAGAAACCCGGGGCCCAAGACAGCGCCTGGGACCCAATAGGCCCCAACCAGCAGACAGACCAGATGAGGGGACAGTAATGTACGTGTGCTCTGCCCAACAGGAATGGGCAGGAATGAAGTGGGGCAACCTGGAGTCCTGAGTCAGAGAAATGTAGGTCCTGAATCTGCTATCAGTCATATGACTTGCACATGGCTTAACCTCTGCAGAATGGGAATTGTTGGAACACCCACCTCACAAAGTAGACTTTTTAAATTTGGTATTTCTGAATTTTATTTTTGTATTGCGATACAATATATACGACACAAAACTTTTCCTCTTGACCATTTTTACAGTGTACATTTCACTATGGCGTTAAGTACATTCACAACCTATCCATTGCCAGAAACTTTTCATCATCCCACACTGAAATTCTGTGCCCATTAAATAATCCCTCCCCACCATCCCTCTCCTCAGCCCCTGATAACCACTAAGGAGATTTTTTTTAATTACCAAAATTGTCAGTCAAAAAACAACACCCGTAAAATATTAGGATGGGGGAGGAAAAGACAATAAAGTAAATAAGCCCGTTCCTCATCTTTCATGGTGGGTGGGTAATATCTTCAGTTGTTAAACCAAGGCAGAAGGGTATGAGCAAATTATTTAAAGTTTAGGAGGTACTAAGTGGGAGCACGACAGACAGAAATGGATGCACATTGCTGCCGCTGGTGGTGGAGAGGACAATATTGCTTTACGTGATAAACTGGCATGCTCTAGTGATCTTTAGACTAAAGAAGGAGCGTTGTCATGCAGCTGGAAAGACAATGTCCGGTGTTTCAGGGGGTGAAGGTGAGTTTGTATCTGCAGAGAGCCCGGCATTGTATTTAGGTCCCTTAATAGTAACTAAGGGTTTTACATTTTATTTTATTTTATTTTAGATGAGAAAATATAATTTATTTAGAAGGTAAATTAGAAAGTACATTTGAGAGAGAGAGAGAGAGAGAGAGAGAGAGAGAGAGAGAGAGAGAGAGAAGAGACAAAAGATTCACCTCTCCAAGGTAGGAGAGGGACCAAAGCTTAGGAAACATGGCAGCCACTGCTCAAAGAGCATGTGGCCAGACCATAGCTTAGCAGAGCAATAGCCTTATTTTATTTTTTAATCCCTGGAATCTAGGATCTTGGAGATGCTGGCTTTCTCATTAGTACTCTCACTGTCCTTTATTTTGAGCCACCTTTGGCATTGCAGGAGAAGGGTAGATGGAGGGAGCTGGCCTGGGGGCTGAGGCTCAGGATGACACACATACAAACTCATGGGTGGGCTGGAAGGGGCCTGGAGCTAGCTGGTCTGAGATCTAACCATGCTCTGCGGGTGACCCCTCACAGATGACCTTGGGCAAGTCCTTTACCCCTCTGTACCTTGGCCTCCTTGAGTGTAAAACAGGGATAATGCCATTTTTCATTAGGTCTAAGATGCCCAGGATTAGGAAATACATTGTTATTTATGTACCTCCAAGAAAATAAACAAACGCTGCCAATCAAGGATGATTTCATGCTTCCTTATCTCTTATTTCAGAAGAGGTTAAGTATGACAAAAGCTTATCAGATACTGCCATTGTATCCTCTTCATGGGATTACACAAGGTGCCACTCAGAGAGCTCTTGGGGATGTGTCCGGCATACAGGAAGCTCTCTGTCAATTTTTACCTGGGAACTCTTGCTGATTATGGGATTTACATCCCCAAAGGGCCGAGGGACTCTGGGGTCTGGTGTGGCAGAATATCTGAGTCTTGACTTTGTGGAACTGGGGGCTTTTCCCTTGTATTCCCCTTCCTCCCCTCCTTCCCTAAGACTCCTTCATGATAGGGCTCTGGGGTTAGAATTGAGGGCGGAACCTGGCCTGGGGGAGTGATGCTCTGACCATCACCCATTGCTGTCCACTCCAGAGGCTTGAAAAAGCAGCAGAGATGTAGGAAAAACCATGTCTGGGCAGTGAGTCGGGCCTGTTTTCTTTCTTCTTTATTTATTTGCTTATTTTAAAATTTAATCTAATTTAATTAATTTATGTTTTAGATTAGAAAATATAGTTTATTTAGAAAGTCAGTTAAGAGAAAGAAAGAGGAGATTCACCTCCCCAAGGTAGGGTAGGGGGCCAAAGCTTAAAGAAACATGGCCTGACCATAGCTCAAAGAGCTCATGGCTGGCCACACAATAGCATAGCAAGGCAATGGCCTTAATTTTATTTTTTTCATTTTGCATCAACATTATTATTATTTTTTCTTTTATTTTAATAGCTTTGGGAGGTACAGACAGTTTTTGGTTACGTGGTTGCTTTGTATAGTGGTGAGGTCCCGGGTTTTAAGTGTACCCACCACCCCCACCTGTGTACATTGGCCCATTAGGAGATTTTTCATTCCTTCACACCTCCCCCTTCTGAGTCTCCGTTGTCCATGCTATCATTCTCTATGTCTTTGTAGATCTCTGCATCTTTGCAGTTTAGCTCCCACTTATACATGAGAACATGCGGTGTTTGGTTTTCTGTTCCTTAGTTGCTTCACTTAGGACGCAGTTCTCCAATTCTATCCAAATTGCTGCTAAAGACATGATTTCATTCTTTTAGATAGCCGAATAGTATTCCATAGTGTATATATTCCACATTTTTACTATCCACCGATTGGTTGATGGGCATTTGGGTTGATTCCACATCTTTGCAATTATGAATTGTGCTGCAATGAACATGTGGGTGCAGGCATCTTTTTCATGTAATGACTTCTGTTCCTTTAGGTAGATGCCTAGCAGTGGGATTGCTGGATCAAATGGTATATCTACTTTTTGTTGTTTGAGAAATCTCCAAACCAATTTCCATAGTGGTTGTATTTATTTACACTCCCACCAATAGTGTATAAGCATTCCCATTTCTCTGCATCCATACCTGCATCTATTTTTTTAAAAATTAAAATTGATTTTATTATAGAGAGGTGGAGTACAAGTCAGGATCAACTACACAAGTAGGCTGCCTGCAGGTGAAGTCTGAGTCTCCAACTAGCCCTCACTCCCCTGGTTTAGGACCAGGTATGTGCTGCCCCTCTTTCCCTCCTTCCTTCCCTCCCTCCTTCTGTCCCATCCTTTCTCCATCCCTCCTCTAGCAGGGCCCAGTCATTGCCAATCCCTCCCTTGGGCTGATATGATTCATGCTCAGGTCCCATTTATGAGTAAGAACATGCGGTGTTCTTTTCTTTGTTTCTGTGATAAATCACTAAGTACGATGTTCTCCAACTCAATCCAATTTGCTGTGAAGTCCATGATTTTGTTCTTTTTTATGGCTGCATAATACTCCATTGTGTACATGCATCACATTTTCTTTACCCAGTCCACTTCCATTGGGCAATAGGGTTGGTTTTTTGTTTCTGCTGTTGTGAAGAGTGCGGCGATAAACATGTATGTGCAGGTGTTCCTCTGGGTATATTCTCAGGAGAGGAATTGCTGGATTACATGGGAGGTCAATTGTTAGTTTTTTAGGAATCACCACACTGCTTTCCATAGAGACTGAACTAGCTTGCACTCCCACCAACAGTGTAGAAGCATTCCTTTTTTCTCTGAACCCATGCCAGCATCTGTTGTTTTTGGATTTACTGATGATGGCCATCCTTACTGGAGTAATGTGGTATCTTAGTGTAACTTTGATTTGCATTTCTCTGATGATAAGTGAGGCTGAGAATTTTTTCATATGTCTGTTGACTGCTTGTATGTTTTCTTTTGAAAAGTATCTATTCATGTCTTTTGCCCACTTTTTGATAGGATTGTTTGTTTCTTTGCTTTCAGCTCATTTGAGTTCCTTGTAGATCCTGGATGTTAGACCTTTGTCAGATACATGATTAATAAATATTTTTCCCCATTCTGTGAGTTATCTCCCCACTTTCTTAATGTATTATTATTATTATTATTTTTTGCTGTGCAAAGCTTTTCAGTTTGATGAGGCCCCACTTGTCTATCATAGCATTTATGGCATTCGCTTTTGGGGACTTGGTCAAGAATTCATGACCTAATCCAGTGCGCATAAGGATGTTTCCTATGTTTTCTTTATGGATTTTTATAGTTTGAGATGTTACATTTAGGTCTTTGATACATTTAGAGTTGATTTTTGTATATGATGATAGGTAGGGGTTCTGTTTTATTCTTCTGCATGTGATCAGTCAGTTTTCCCAGCACCGTTTGCTTCATATGGTCTCCTTTCCCCACTGATTGTTATTGGTGGCTTTGTCAAAGATGAATTTGTTGAGAGACCGAATTTTTGCTTCTGGGATCTCTGTCCTGTTCCGTTGGTCAACGTGCCTATTTTTGTACCAATACCAGGCTGTTTGGGTTACTGTAGCCTTGTAGTAAAGTTTAAAGTCTGGAAATGTTGTGGGCAGAGAACTCTGTCTGGACTTTGCGGTATTTTTATGGTGGCCATTCTTACTGGTGTTATCTCATTGTGGTTTTGATTTGTACTTTCCTAATTATTAGTGAGGTGGAGTGTTTTTTCATATGTTTGTTGGTCACTTGCATAACTTCTTTTGGGAGATATCCGTTCATGTCATTTGCCTATTTTTTAATGGAGTCATTTGCTTTCTTCTTGCTGATATGTTTGAGTTCTTTGTAGATTCTGGATATTAGTCTTTTGTCAGACATAGAGTTTGTGAATACTTCTCCCATTCTGTAGATTGTCTATTTGCCTGTTGATTATTTCTTTTGTCATGCAGAAGCTTTTTAATTTCATTTTCCACTTTTTATTTTTGCTTTTGTTGATTTGCTTTTGAAGTTTTAGCCATAAATTCTCTTCCTAGGCTGATGTCCAGAAGACTTCTTTCTAGGTTTCCTTCTAGGATTTTTATGGTTTCAGGTCTGACAGTTAAGTTTTTAATCCACCTCGAGTAAATTTTTGTATATGGGGAGAAATAGGGATCAAGTTTTATTTTTCTGCATGTAGCTATCCAATTTTCCCAG